CATCCCCTTAAACTACCAGATAATACAGATAAAAAAACACGTATTATCTGAAAAATATCAACCTTTGGATATTGAGGGCTGGCCCAATGGGCTGCTGTTCTACTGGACTGGAAAAAAGACAGTTTAAATTCCATCCTGGCCCTAATCTTCTCCTCCTCAGGAGCGAAGGAACTGGGAGTGTGTGGAGATAACATAAACAGGACTCAGTCCTGTAGCTTCTTACTTACGTGAGTAGTTTATGTCGTCCCATTGACTTCATAAAACTATTGGGCAAGTAAGGATTTACAGGATTAGAGATAATGTTTTGTGGGCCCAATCCTGCACAGTGCTGAATGCTTTCTGGAGGGTGCTGAGCTCTGGAATGCAGCACTTCTCTGGAAGCATTCAGCACTTCAGAGGAACCTACTCTTAAGGGCCAGCATTGACTAAGTTTCCAAAGGAACTCCATACAGTTCTCACTGACTGGAAGGACAAGGATTAAAACAATGGGCTCATAAGGGTTACATGAGAGACAAAGAAGAACCTCCACAAGAAAAACTAAACTTGTAATAATTTGGTAATTCCTATATCCTAAAAGGCAAATGGATTTTTGAAAATGCTAATTTTCAGTTCATGGTGAGTATTAAAAACAAGATACTCCTACAAGCACATGTTTTACAATGGAATCATGGCTAAATCCTTAACTCCTGGGATGTCAGGGAGTGTCATTACAGTCCATACTCTCTCGAATAATATGCAGCCTGATACCTCCTGTTACTCCCTGTCTCCAAATGATCAGGAAGAACCTTCCATTCCAGCTAAACCATAGCATCCTATAAGGCCAAAGGTGGAAGGAGGGGAGTGGGGTTGAGCATCCTTCAAGACAATTTTACATTATATGTAATTTACAGCAAGAGACTAGAAATACAAAATGACAGAGATTAAAAATATGAACTGTATTTCATGTTAATGTAAGTAGGTTTTTTTCAGCACACACTCAGAAGATGTATTAAATTATTTACTATGTAAATTACATAGTGTGCTGCTTTATTAACAATCCTAGAGAGATTTATATAATTACATTAAAAATATACTTTGTGTTTTTAAATGTACATACACACAATACACTCTATATTCTATAGGGGAAGAGTTGAAAACTCACCTACTATTTTGTTGGCAAGTATTTCATTCTTAAATACACCAGTTAATTCTAAACCTAGTTCAGTTGAATAGTCATAAATCAGCATGTTAATGACATGACTTTAGAGCTGCTAAACTAGGCCAGCAACATGCTGTATTGCAAGAAGATATTGATAGCAAGAGCTACGAACAACCACATACATTGATACCCTAACTAAAGGAAGAATATTAGACCAGATCTTTAAAAATCTAAGAACTCTTAAGAGACTCATTTACCATCCTATTGATATTTTAGCTCAAGTGATTTTGCAGTGAAATATTTCTGTTCCATTGTGCCTGTAGTATATGGATTTTGCTCTCTCCTGCTTTTGCTCCTTAGCTCTTAGTGTGAGCATCAGCTCTGCAATGGCTGATTTTACGATTCTAATTCAGAGTCTCGCTTTGGAGTTTATTTTACCAGTAACACCAAAATTATGAAAGAATCATGTCACAAGTAGGTTACTCTGTTATGGTACAATAATCTCAGCGTGGCTGCATGCTTTTCAGAATGTTTCCAGAACATACCAGTGCCCTAAGTAACAGGATAAAATCAAATCCAATTATAGGCAAAGATTTTTAAGAATACTTCTATTTTATTTATTAAAATATAAATGTGTTTGTGCTCAAATCACTGAGGAAGAAACAACATGGAAGATGATCATGCAGAAACACAGGGTGAAAGAAATTCACCCCTCCCCTCACAAAGCCTGGAGTTTGTGGGCCTGATCAAAAGTGTATGGAAGTCAATGGGGGTCTTTCCACTGACTTCCATGGGCTTTGGATCGGGCACTCTGTAAGGAATTAAGTAGGGACTGGGCAGATGGCATTTGCCTCTAAACTGTCACTTGCCTATGGGCTGGAATAGAAAGTCTAGTCCCCCTAAATCTATGCACTCTATGCTGGAATTTCAGGCTGCTGTATCTGGGTGTTTGTGGATCCTCTAGCCCCAGCCCCAGCCCCAGCTATCCCCCCACAAACCTCTCCTTCCTATTTGCAGCCAACCAAGAATCCACCATGCACAGTTGTTCCACCCACAGCTTGCCCCATTCTCCACCCTGTACAGTCCCACCACAGGGATAAAGTCATACACAGGGCCCTCAGCCAGCTCTCTGCATGTGGGTGAGTTTAACCGAATGTAATTTCACGTAAAACCTAATCCTTTAGTCATTGCACACTCAAAATTCCCACTGGCTAAATGTCCCTGTCACGAAGTCCTTGCTCAGTCAAAATTCCCTGTAAGTCAATGGGAGTTTTGCCTAAGAACTCTAGTATCTGTACCCAAATAAGAGCTGGGTGTGTGCAATAATGTAGAGTTGGTGTCAAAAGTTTTTCAGAAAAAGGGGAATGACCAGAAACTAAGGGCCTAATTCTACTCTCACACTTATGTAATTCAATGGAGTTATGCCAGTATAAACCTACCATATATGAGTGGAGAACCAGGCCTGAAGTTTACTGAATACAGTGGAGTAGTATAGCCCATTATCTTATCCTGTTACCTAAAGCACAGCAGGCTGTGGAGCATTTCAAAACATTTTCTCTTTTTTGACTGTATGAATGTATCATATTAAGATGCATTCCTAGCATGTTTAATGCTTGCTGAGTTTCCACACGGAAATGATAGGAAAGCTATGGTAGTCTGGTTTTTCATTTATGTTTGCATCTTAAGGCCTGTCCATGTTTTGATGTTCAAAAACAGTCTAAATGTTTTCTATCTTAAATATGTGCACTAGTTTGCTGGGAAATCAGTGATTTGAAGTTATTTTTATATACCCAATCACAACAAAATGTAACATCAGAAGGTGATATAGTGGAAATGGAAAAGAGATGGAAAGACGAATGATGATGCTGATGAAAAAATACAGAAAGGAAAAAATCAACTAACAGAAATCAAAATGTAAAAAGCAAAATATATGTTTTAAGTTGGTCAAGCTTGCCAAATATATTTACACAGGGTTCTTTTCTCTGTCTTTTCAAATGGAGGAGTTCAAATTCTGAGGAAAAACTGCTAAGTTATTGCTACATTGAAGATATTTGATAATAAGGAAGATGGTAGAGTGGTGGTGCATGGTATGGAAGGATTTTTTCCCTAGAATAACCTATAGAATATTAAACAAACATCTGAAATGATGATTCCTGCTATAGCCTAGAAATCACACTTAATTCTGTTATGTGCATTCAAAAATAAATAGATCTACAAAATGTAGGCCCTGCATTACTCCAGCCCTTCCCTCTGCCATTCACACACACTGGCAAATGCAGCAAGAGGTTTCTATGTAGTTTTTGGCAAAAAGGTCATGGTACCTTGTACACTAAAAATACTGGAGGGAACAACACATCAGTGCCTGGGGAGGAGAGGAACACGATAGCCTTAGAAGTATTTTCCATCTCTAACTTCTACAATTCTATTATCCAAAATTTGGATTCTTGAGTCTTAATCCTGCAGTCCTTTTTCAGATAAAACATCTATTCACTTCACTGAGAAGGTGGCCTGCCTGAGTAGAGAATGTAGGATCAGGCCCCAAGCAGGAACACAACCCGCTACACAGGTCTCAACTGCAGTCTGGCTCACAATGGCTGAAGTTGAAAAACCTCTTGCACCCACTTGTCAAAGCCCCATAAATAATATCAAGGTACAAGACTTGCTTACAACTAGGGGAAAATGAGTGTGGTTCTGCATTCACATGCAGACTCAGCATTGCATCTTTTTTAGCTATCTTACAGAAAAGGAGCATGTGCAAAAGGAGCTTACACACATATTACCCAGTGCAGAGCCAGTCCTCATTCTACTCTACCAGAATGGGTTACTTCCATTTAAAAAAGCAAAGAAAACAAAATGGTCAAATTTTTGATTGCGGAAAGAGTGACCCATCAAAATTTTCTGTTTGCATGAATAATAGGAAGAACATATAAAATTGGGACATGAGAGAGTAAAGAGGCCCCTACTAATTAATTGTCTAGAAGAGAGGTGGAATATGTGTAGTGTAGTAATTCTTTACTGATCTGTAACGATCTGTAAAAGAGAAGGATAAAGTGATAGCTAAATGTACATCACTGCCTCTCCCAAGAAAAATCTGACAGTGAAGAATTTTCTGATAATACATTGGTCTTGTACTAAAATCAGCACTATCTGTGTGCTATACTGCTTTATTATTTAACTTATTCCCAGGAAACTGTACCAAGGGCAATTAAGATTTATAATCTAAATGGTTTCGAAATTATATCTCTGGGAAGTCAAATCTAAATTAAATCATACCAGGCTTTTAGGCTTCCCACGATCACATTTTCCTATTGAGCAAGTGCCTTTCAATGCAGAGAACTTCTCCTCTTACAGATCGTTCAGAATCTTTCCTTAAGCAAAACCTCCTTCCTATTGTTGGTGTCCTCATAACAAAATGACTAAAAATATTGGTTAGAGTTGAGACTTGCAAAACAGATGCTGCAAGGAAAATGTGAGCATCATTTCTGCAAGCCTTAGAGGCAAGCAATACAAAATGTAAGTGGTTCTCTCATATCTACATACTATGGAGATTCTCAGTCTCTTTACCCATACACTCTCTCTCGCTCCCTCCGTCTAGATAGCCAAAATGACATATACACAGACAAAAAATAAAATTATTAATTATATAAATTATCTGATACACACATGTATTATCTGTGTGTATGCACAGAAAGAGAGAATATACACACACAAGCATAATACAGTATTATAACGAAAATTAAATAAAATTAGAGCTAGAGAGACAGATAGAGGGTTTCTTCACCCAGGTGCCCAGCAGGTTCCCCTCCGCTAGCTCGGGGCTCTCCCGTGGGAGCAGCCAGTGCCCAGCCCCTGCGCCACTCACATGTCGGTGATGTTCTCCCGCTCGGCGCTCCTCTCCAGGACCGGGAAGGACACGATGCCCGGCGCGGGCTCGCTGCACCAGATCCGCGAGGCGCTGCATGTGCAAGGCGCCGGGCAGGCGAGCAAAGCCCTCCAGGAGCCCAGCACCACGCAGCAGAAGCCCCAGAGCCGGGCCAGACCGGGCCCCTGCCACCTCCTCCGCCAGGACACCATGCTGCCCCGATCAATCCAGCGCTGCCCGCTGCCCCGACGGCCTCCTCCAGCGACCGTCCCGGCGTGTGCGGAGCCTCCTGGGCGCTTCAGAGCGGCTGGGACTCGGGCATCCTGCTGCGGGAGGGCTCGGTGCCGGCCCCGGCTGGGCTCACATGGGAGCGCTGGGCCGGGCAGGAGCGACGCCTCCGCTCCCCGCTGCCTGCCCGGGCTCCCCGGGGCCGCTCGGGGCGAGCGCTGCAGGCGGCGGAGCTGGAGGGGAAAGAGAGACCGGTGAGAACGGAGCCGAGACTGGCCCAGCCCGGCCGCCGCCCGCCCGCCCCGGGAGCGCCAGCCCCAGCCTCGGGAGCTCAGCGCGGGCCCCTGACGGGCACCCGGGGCAGGGACCGTTCCCTCCCGGGCAGCTGCCCCTGCAGTGGGGACGCGGCTCCGGCGCCGAGCGCAGCCCGGGCAGCGGCAGCTCCTCGGCTCCCGATGATGCTGCAAAACGCCGGGCGGAGCGGGGAGGGCGCGGGAGCCGGCGAGGTGGGGCAGTGGGTCACCCGGGCGGGCTGGAGGCTGCAGGGGGGCGAGTGGCTCATGCTCCTACCTGCGGGGCGCTGCCTGCTCCGGCCGCTGCTGCCTGGGGGAGAGGAATCGGCGCGCTGCTGCTGCCGGGGGGCTCGGAGCTCCTGGCTCTGCCCTTTACGCACAGTCTCCTTCCTCCAGTGGATAATAAAGCAGCCCAGCTCCTGCTCGAGCCCAAGCTCAGGAGCTGCTGGCAAAGTGACGTGGGGCTGACGCAGAGAGGGGCAGAAACTCCATAAAATGAGCCTGAAATCCAAAAAAAAAAAAAAAAGAAGAAGAAGAAGACAAAAGCAACCAGGGGCGAGGGAGGGATGGAGGGGAGGGGAGAGAGAGGAGAGGAGGGTGCCTAGAACAAGATGCCAATAGGCAGGCTGGAGTCTATGCACACACAAACAATCACACACACACACACCAGAGAGAGGTCAACCATCAGCACGGTCCCTCTTCTGAACCCTCCGGTCTTTGCTGTGTATGAAATCAAAGCCTGATTCTCGGAACACCAGCAACGCATCCTTCCCATCCCCAGAAAGACACACACAGACGTGATGTGCATGGAAAAGGGAGCCTTTTTCGCCACAGCGTAGGTCTGGCTCCCCGTTGCATTGGTTTGTCTGGATACTTTCTAAGATCAGCATTAGGGCTTTGTACATAGATCGCTCAGCACGGGCTTTCTGTGTCCGACTCACTGGGCATAATAACTAGTTAAGAAACCCTTTTGGACAGCTCAGCGTATTGGTTTCTCCCCTTGCTTTTTGTTAGTCCCGCACAGTGTCATGCACATTCCGTGCGCTTGCAACATTGCGTTATAGTCACTGGAGAAATATACCGCTTTTCCACCAGCTCTTCCAGCCTAGGTGGTAACTATTAGGCTAATGTAGCATACGCGTTATAGATTTGCACATCTCCACTATCTAGGGGCATATATGCAGATAATACACAAACCTATGCAAAGAGAAAGATTGTTTTTAAAAAGAATGTGAACTTTTATGATCGTATAATAAAATGTAATCGTTTTAAGAGCTCAGGTATGTGATGAATGAGCGACATTAAAATGCCTTGTCTGGGAATTTGCCTTTTCATTAGTGGCTCTGTCGGATTTTTTTTCCGCAGTAATTTGAAAGAAATGGGAAAATCCACCGCAGTGCCTCAGACTTCAGCGAGCTCTGGCGCCACCGCGTGTTCACAACCTGAACACCACAAGCAAAAGAAAACGCGCCCGGAGTCTGCGTGCGGTTTACTACTAATCTTTCTGTGCACGTCCTTTTCTGCTTCCTCTGGGCTCTGCACTACACCGTGCTTCTGATGGTCTTAAAGGGAATTCAGAATTGTGTTACCTGCTTTATTATCGTTTCCCTTTAATGCCGAAATGGAAATAGGGATTAGACGTTCTAATTTAGGCGATGATTTAACTGGGAATTGGTCCTGCTTCGAGCAGGGGGTTGGACTAGATGACCTTCTGCGGTCCCTTCCAACCCTTATATTCTATTATTCTATGATTCTATGATTCTATGTGAACAAATAGGCGATGTGTGCACACAAATTAAGTCTCTGTGCAGGCAGGCAGGCACTTAACACCTGTGCACACAAATATCTGATTTGCATACGTACCTCAGTGATTTGCACATATAAATTAAGTGCAGGGACACATACCTAACTTTGAAAATCTGGTTCAATATGACTAATCCTGTTGTTACCTCCTCTTCAACACTGGTCTCCTTCAGCCAAGCTCCATTGAAATACATTGACAAAGGCCCGTGAATTCATTGCATCACCTTTAATTGAATTTCTCCTAACTTGGTGTCCAAGCAGTTTGGTACACGGATTTTATGCCATTTTGGAAAAAAAAAAACTGTGGAAAGCCCTATATTGTCTTAATTTTATATTAACCAAGGATTTTTATATAACCATCTTAGGACTTCACTATAGAATTAAAAAGGTAGCAGATAAGTTGCAGTGGCATTGTTCCTTTTTTGTTTGTTTGTTTGTATGTATCAAGTGGGGATCATAATGTTTAGAAAGCACTTGGCACAGCACTTTTATTAATTGCATGAGCACTCAACTCTGTGTAAATCTGCCCAGGCTTCAGAAAACATCTAATTCTCACTGGGCATGCTCAAAGATTTGGCACTTCCATACAAAAATCCTGTCATCTTATTAGCATAGTCACAGCCATGCTATTAACACTAACTAGTAATATTATACCTCTCTTTAATGGGATGACTGAAGATAAATAGGCATAATTGGAAATATTGCCAACAATGTTATCTGGTTAAATTAAATTTCTTTTGAATGTGTGTAAAGGTTATAAAATTGTTATCCAGATATAAATCTGCCATCAAGAGTACATCCCCATTCTTGCCATGTGCTGAAGTATGACATGGCAAACATGGTAACTATCCTTAAAAGGGGGAACAAAGAAGACCCAGGGACCAGTCAGCCTAACTTTAATACCTGAAAAGGTACTGGAACTAATTATTAAGAAGTCAATTTGTAAACACAAAGAGCATAATAGGGTAATAAGGATTAGCCAACATGGATTTGTCAAGAACAATATCATGCCAAACCAACAGAATTTCATTCTTTGAGAGAGTTACAGGCCTAGGAGATGCGGGGAAGCTGTAGATGTGATATATCTTGATTTTAGTAAGGCTTTTGACAAGGTGCCATGTGACATTCTCATAAGCAAACTAGGGAAATGTGTTCTAGATTAAATTAGTATATGGTGGATACATAACTGGTTGAGAGACCATACTTAAAAAGTAGTTATGAATGGACAAGATTAGAATTCAAAACGACTTTGAGATTGGAGAATTGGTCCAAAATAAGCAAGGTGTAATTCAATAAGACAAGTACTTCACTTAGGAAGGAAAAATCAAATGCAGAACTTCAAAATGGGGAATAACTGGTGAGGTGGTCATACTGCGGGAAAGGATCTGGGGGTTATAGTGGATCACAAATTGCATGAGTCAACAATGTGAGGCAGTTGAAAAAAAGGCTAATATTCTGAGGTGTATTAACAGGAATGTTCTATATAAAACAAGGGAGGTAATTGTCCCATTCTACTCAGCACTGATGAGGCCACAGCTGGAATACTGTGTCCAATACTAGATGCCACATTTTTAGGAAAGATGTGAACAAACTGGAGAGAGTCAAGAGGAGAGCAACGGAAATGATAAAAGTGTTAGAAAACCTGACCTATGAGTAAAAGTTAAAACAACTGGGCATGTTTAGTCTTGATAAAAAAGAAGAGGGGTGGGAGGTGGAGATTCTGATAACAATCTTCAAAAATGTTAAGGGCTGTTAGAAAGAGGAGTCTGATTGATTATTCTCCATGTCCGCTGAAGGTAGGACAAGCAGAAAATGAATTAATCTGCAGCAAGCCAAATTTAGGTTAGATATTAGGAAAAATTTTCTATCAGAGTAGTTAAGCAATGGAATAGACAATCCTCTGTCAGGGATGGTCTAGATTTACTTGGTCCTGCCTCAGCGTAGGGGGCTGGACTTGATTATATTTCTATGATTCCTATGCTTGGTGACAATTATCTAGGTGCCACAGGGCCAAATTAATTTTTAGCTGTCCCTGATTTCTTGTTTTCTGCAGATAAGAATTTTTGGGGGCCTAATTCTTCTCTCACACTAGTTTTATGCCAGTCTAATACTATCAATTTACATCAGTGTAAATGATAGTGTAAATAAGGCTTGGTGGTCCCAAATAATGAGTACTTTCATGAGTACTTTTAAAAAAAAATCCCAATGTATATCTGGAGGAGAAATTATTTATGATTTGTATTACAATAGTGCCCAAGAGTGCTAGTCATGGACCAGGACCCCATACAGAACAAAAAGATGGTCCCTGACTCTAGAAATTTGCAATCTAAGTATAAAACAAGAGACAACAGATGGATATAGACAGACAGGAGAGTACAAGGAAACAATAATACAGTACTGATGAGCATGATAGGCAGTGGTATCTGCATACCAACATGAATGGAACAATTATTAAAGTATTGTAGAAGTACCCAAAATAAGGATATGTGTAGATCTAACAGATACCTTTGGTAGTATGATTATGAAAAAACCCACTTAGCTGACTATTAAGAAGAAAGGATTGTTCTGCAACCTCTCTGATCCATTCAGCACAGTTGTGGTTCACACACATGATCTCAAGGCAGGAAAAAGCACCGAAACCGCAGCACTCCCCTATACCAGTTGCCTGCCTCCTATATTCCAGTTGCTGTTTTATCATCATGGTATTGCTAATATCACTTTTGGGGGGGAAAAAAGACTTGAGTGGATGAGACTAAATGGTATTGATGATGTTAATTCTAGGTCTATAAAAGACTGCTGTTTTATATTGGTGCTCTAGTTTTTGCCTTATAAACAGGTGCTCATTTATGAGGCAACACAGTCTTCTATTGTTTTTAAAGCGAGGGGGGGAAAATAGCAGCTTAAATGTCTCCTAAGAGAATGTCTCTTAAGAGACATGCTAAAGAAGGCAGGATCAAGGGAGCAATTTCTGCTTGGGGAGAAAGGAATGAAAAGAGGCAGAACTCCATCCACATCAATAACATCCCTCCAGACCCAACAGTTTCCTAGTAATGTCATGGAGGCAAATTTGACTCTCCTGAGCATCAAGGTGGAAAATCTACACTTCAGATAAGTGAAAGCGTGACTTTTTGGACCACTACTTAACAGCTACATATAAGGGCACC